AACGTTAGGAAACAAAACTTCCAGAACACAGCCACACAGCCCGGAAGACCCACACCAGCCTAAAAAAACAACTGTTTACTCCATCTACAGGATCCAAAACACAAGCATTTCTTAAACCCCTTCTCTACAGGTCTGGGGTGTATCTGATCTCATGATGGGGCTTTAAAGGACTACTACATCAAGCTACTACTATTTCTCCTGGAATGACCACAGGATCAGTATTAATTTCTCCTTTACTTCCAGTATCATGTCTCTTTAGAACCTGTGTTAGAACTACCCCCCCCCTTTTTTTAGCCACATATCTGCCCTATTCCAAATAACATTCAGTCATTCAGTAAGTCCAACACAACTTGCTTTGGAATTATTTTACTCTTCAATATCATATAGGTTATCAATTTTGTATTGTCACCCAAACTGTCAAACATTACTGTAAAGTACTTTTTTAAATGATCAAGATTCTTGAGTAGTATAATTGGACAACTTATCAGCATAATCAGAAGAGAAACGTTGCCAAAATGAAGTTTTTCTCTTTAGACAAAAAATATTATGATGCATCATTTGGATGTACCAACCATAACTGGCCATGAATTTTTGCACTCTTAATACTTCCTGTGCTTTCACTTGAAAGATTTCCTACATAATTGGTTTTCCATTCCCCTTCTGTGAATGCACAATTTCTACTGTTTGGGGTTTCATGTAAGAAAGCCTTCTGCTGTAAGTCCACTGATTAATTTCCATAGAGCATTAGCAAATAGAGGCTTGTTTTGATAATTTCGGTTTTTCCCCCACTAACTTTCCTGGAGACTCATCCTTGCTTGAGGATTTTCTCTCTTTATAGTACCATTATGAACTTAAAATTTCCATTGTAACTGCTCATTGTACCTTTTGTTGATCCCCTTTTGAGCATGTAATTCCTCTCCATACCAACTTGCCTTTCACATACCATTTTCTCTCTCTTTTCTGGCATACATGAGGGCTTTGTGTGAGAAATACTGTTTCTTTACCTCACCCCACTCAGCCTCCTGATTTCATTTAATAAGAGGAGAGTAGCAACATGTGGCTTCCCTACCTTGCCTATTCCCTTCTCATTTTCCTGATTTTGGAAAAAATAATGTGCTTTTCCAAAATAATCTTCTTAATTATTTTGGAAAAAATAATGTGCTTGAATTTAACAGCAAGAACAGACATTTCAGTGTATTATACTTGGATCCAAGATGAGCCTTTCATTTAAAAAAAAAATGACAAGGTAGGAGGAGTATGTTTCATTTGAGTAAATACAGTATACAGAATATCAGATGAGGCAGTAATCTGCATGATATGTGCAAATGTAATGAATCCCCCAGCATTTTTTGAAAAAATGCAGAAAAGCTGCTTTAGGAGGCTGCTATTTAGGCAATTACAATCCATTTGCAAGTTGCTCTTTGCAGTCATGATTATAAGAATTCCATGTGGAAATATGGAAAAACTATCAATAAGCAGCAAAAAAACTGGTAGGAAAAAATTTAGGGCTGCCTTTTTGTAACCAAAGTTGCACTTTCTCGTACTAGAGTTACCAGACTTGGACTGGAAAAATATGTACATCTAGCAATGAGTTAGAGCTTTCTGTATCCAATTGTGCCATCTTGTGGTTGTTCAGTTTTGTTTTGTTTTGTTTTTAGCCTAGAAATGATGGATCTTCCTCTGGCTCTCTTTAAACACACCCACCTGCATGCACAAACATATATATTGGAACTACATTATGTATATTTGTATGTAATCTCACAGAAATTGAGTGCAATATTTTTAGGCACTCTAACAGACAAATATCTTAATGCTTCAAACTTACTAACTACTTAGTATTTAGAGATTATTGTACTAACACATGAAATGAAAGTCAACTTGAATGTTCATATATGTTGTAGATTGAAATATTATGTGCATTTGCATGAGTGTGGGACTCAAATGTGAGCAAAGATTACTGGAGCAGATTTTGTAACTGTAACAGAAAGGAGATTTATTTGCAGGAAATACATTATAGGGCTAGGCAAAGTCTAGCATCTAGCTAACTGCATCCTACCAGGTAGTATATTCAGAAGTATGTACCTGGGTAGAAAGGCAGAAGGAAGTGATCTCAGAGTAGCAATCTCATAGACTAGGGTTCCTCATCCTTGGTGACTTGAAGATGTGTGGACTTCAAGTCGCCAAGGTTGAGGAACCCTGTCATAGACAAAGACCAGGCAGAATGGCAGACAAAAACAGGACAGAGGGTATGGGTGAAGTCAACACTCAGTGATAACCATCTTATACTGAATTGTGGTCAGTGGGAATAAAATGTCGCTTAGTTTTAAGTCTCTGGCATATTCTGCAATCCAGACCTCAAACTGCATATTTAAAAGGTTTAAAACTGAGGTGGCAATAAAAAACTTGGACCAATAGTGCTACATGGAATAAAGCATCTGCCTAGATTTCCAATTGTGCTTGAGAACTTTTTATTTAACTATTGTAGCAAAGGCCAGAGTATTACGATGATGAGGAAGGAGGATTGGAGTGTGACTACTTTGAATTCGATGATTCCTCTGAAATCAGGACAGTGTATGAGGATGTGAAGATTTATCTTGGAGAGGATTATGAGGAGATCAGCATCCCAAGGCCCAACATTGGTCATCCTGCAGATATTATCCATGATTTTCAGCAGGTAAGGAATTAGGCTGCATGTACTTTGATGGATGTGTTTAATAACACAATAATAAACATTCTTAAAGGAGCTTTCTCCAGCCTAGTAGCCAAACCTATTGCCGTCCTGATGTGTTTCCATTCTCCATCGTGGCTAGTTCTGGAAGGTGTAGTCTGAACACATTTTGATGGCATGACGTTGGGGAAAAATGCTTTCAAATCTGTGATTTGAAAATAGTAATTGGGTCCCCCCAGAGCGTAAAGTCTGTAATTCTAGGAATTAAATGCTTAATATTCCCATATCTCTGAGAACCGTATCAGAGATGTAGGAATATTTAGGAGGGTGATTATCAGGCTGGATCATTAGTCCAAAAATTACCTACCTGGATTTATTGATTCCCTAATCTTGTGCCTGAACTGCCTTACCCACCAGACATATTTGGTGCAGTTGGATTTGTGTTGATCAAGTTAGTCAGACTGATAATTACTTTAGCTCCTTTTTCCATAACTCTAATGGTGTGTCTGACATCTTATTAGCGTCATGGTTTAAGAGAAACCTTTGTCCTCACTTAGAAAATGCAGCATGTTTTGTTCCCTCCTAATAAGACAACTGTTTATCCCAGAGCATCAGCCACCTCGATAGTTCTATGAAGAAATTCATCAATAATAAAAATTGGTGGAGTCATCACTTGTTCTTGGTCTAGCACATTAGCTTGACATTTGCACCCTTGTAGACACCACTGGGATGGAGTAGTGTACCAGGTGTACCAATGGTGAAAAGAGATATATCATTTTTAGCTATCTGGATTTTGGACAGTTTTTATATATCCCTGTTTGATATCTCCCATCACAAGCATATAATGGGATGATACTGTACTTACTGTGAAGATAACAATGTACCTTAATAACTTTTTGTGATTTTTCTTAATTTATTGGCCTTGACCTGGATATGTGCTACTAGAGGTTCTGATCAGTTTAGTCTCTGTGTTTTTTTGTTGTTGTTGGGTTTTTGTGTTCTTATCTTTTTCTGGCTCTTGCTAGGTCACAGCTGGAACTGGAAAGGAGCTTCCTATGAGAATGGTATAAAAAGTTAAATCACATGATTCCAATTTCTCTGAGAGATCAAAGTGACTATCATTGGTTTCTCTCCTAATTTAATCTTTGTGACAACAAACCTGTAAAGTAAGTTGGGCTACATGTGTGTGCCTTCAAGTCAGTGTTGACTCCTGGTGACTGCCTGGACAAATCCCTGCAGTTTTCTTGGCAAGATTTTTCAGAAGTGGTTTGCCATTGCCTGATTCCTACAGCTGAGAGAGAGGGACTGGCCCAAGGTCACCCAATTGGTTTTGTGCCTAAAGTGAAGCTAGAACTCACAGTCTCCTAGTTTCTAGCCTGGTGCCTTAAGTTGGGCTGAGTATGTAATTGCCCAATGTCACCCAGAGGTTGAGTGGGGACCTGAAACCTAATCTTTCTGATCCACGTCAAAACTGTCACCTTTATCATACACTGGCTTTAAGCATCCCAAATTGTTCTGTGTGAATACTGTGAGTAGCTGAATACTACTATTGTCATTGGTCTGTTTTGTGCCCATTTAACCTGCTTTGACCTGATTTTGTCTGGTGTGATTTCAGGGGTTGACAGCTTATTATGATCGAGTAGTAAATAAATGCTACATTGGTGAGCTGAATACTACTATTGTCATGCCACTTAAGCATTTCTGGGAACTGAAGCTTAATATAAAGGTCAGTGAATAATGCCTTTTATTCTCTGTTTGATTACAGCTATATTCTGTAACCACTACACTTCCTTGGAACAGACAATGCATTCCCTAATTATGTCAAGGGAATACTGTTAGTGCATTTATAATGTATGTCCTTGGCACTTTCTTCCAGATAGCATATACATTCCTTTTTGAGGAAAATATTTATTCTTTGTGAAAATAGCATTTTAGGTTCCTTGGAATGGATTATTTAAACTATAAGTAGGATCGTTTGCACAAACCAGGCAGTTTTCAAACTACAGTTATATTTGAACATTCCTATAATTGCTATTATTTGTCCAGCTTTGCTATTATCTATCAAGAATTATCTAGCGTTGTGGTTCCAGTAATAGTCACCAGTTTAGGAAGACTGTAGTAGAGTAATGGAACCCTGATATCTGACTTATAAGAAAGTAGGATTCCCAATCTCTTTAGTATTTTGGTTTTGATCTTTGAATGAAGATTATGAATTGAGAAATTCTCACTCAGTATTGGTAGATTATCATCAGAAAAACATACAAAATAACCATCATTTTGTAGCTCTAATCCCACTGTTACTTCAATATATAGGTTGCATTGTTCTCAGATGATAGAAATTACTTACTGTTGCTTGAAATAATATACTGAAACTTTGCTCAATAATTCCTGGAGAGTGAAAACAATGGTTTTTGGGCTAATTGAATAGATGTTTTTTTCCTGATGTTAAAACAAGCAAGTTCTCAGTGAATTGCAAATTCTTTGATTACAGAAAGGGGACTACTTGCCACAAACCAACATGATCCAGGAAGAGAGGATGGTGATAGAACATATCACTGACCCAGATCTGCTTGGCTCCTACATCCATAAACTCTGCCAAGGCAAAGAAACCTTCAAACTGGACCATAGGATCTCAAGAGGACGTAAGGGGATCATCATTTTTATTACTTTGCTGAAGTTTGTACTATGCTTTTCAACTGGACTGTAAATTTAGAGCAGTTATTATTTTTCAATTCAACATTTGATATTAGCAAAAGATGAAAGATACTGATAGAGTAAAGCTATTTTTAAAATATCACCTAACTGTAAATTAATAAATTGTTGCATATATGATATTAATATATCATGAATTAATGCATTCTTGTATATATGATAATGGGATTGATGGATAGGTGGGTGGGTGGGGTGGGGTGGGATGGATGGATGGATGGATGGATAGATAGCAAGGCAGTGGCTATAAACTGCAAATGTTAAGAGATTAAGGAAAAAGTAATTTGTGTTTGTCACTGGCAGTTTAAAATTAAGTATTAAAAAACCAATATACTTTCATTTTTTTAAGGCTAGATGCTGTTTCTATAACAAATAATTGTAATACTTTGACAACATATTTGAATCATAACATTTTATTCTGTGTAAATCATTTGAGGTGAGAAAATAGCTTTTGAGAGTTGTGTTTATTCATACATGACAATACTAGTAATGTTTGCATCACTTTCTATGATTTGTATTGTTCATATTTCTGATTTCTGCATATTTAATGTAGAAATTAAATGGTTGCATCACTTTTTTTTCTCTAAAAGCTCCAATTTGACCTTCTTTTCTGATTCCTTTTTCCAGATATCCATCAACGAGCTACTGAGAAGTGTCATCACATCCGCCATTTTGCAAATACTTTTGTGGTTGACACAGCAATTTGCCAGTCATTGTGAGAACTGCCACTCAGATGTTTTTGTATCCTGGGCTTTGTTTCCCTCCCTCCCTCCCTCCCTTCAAAAAATGCCCACCATTGTCTGTCTATTACTAAATTGTTAGGTTACTGATGTTTGACACTGGGCCAGTGCTTAATTTATATATTAACCCTCATTAATTTTTCTGGAGTGAAAACTGGCATAATAATCTGTTTTCAGAGTGCATGTTGTCCTGTGAGATGTCTACAGATGGGAACAGGAAGGCAAAGAAAAAAACAAAAAAATTACAAGAGATGGAATAGAAAACTTTGAGATAAATATTGTCCTTGTATATGTCTGCCCTTCTTCACAGACAATGAATTAGCATGTGGAATCTCTTGGTAAGGACATCTGCTGAGTATAGAAAGCATATTATATATATCAGTGTAGTATTAATAAAATCACTGTAAAATTAAATCCTGAAAGTGAAGAGGAAGGTGCATCTAAATTAATCATGTCTGTAGTCTTAAATAGAAATCATAGTCTTAAGAGACTAGGTTGTTCTATGTCACATCATGAGAACATGACATGTTCTCATGTCTCTGAAGTAATTTGTGTGTACACAGAGTCTCTCTGCATGTGGTATAGGACAAAAACTTAATCAATGACAGTAGCTCCAGCTCAGTCAGTGGCCAAAATAGATTGTTTAGTAATAATCTGATTCATTGGCTCCTTAGAGGGGAAAAAAAACCCCTACATTTATCTTTCTTGGGTCACAATAATAAGTTAATTACTTATAATAATTAAGTTAACTACATTCCATTTAATTTTTGTTTCCTGCATGGCAGATTCTGTCAAATGGAATTGTCTGTACAATAATTTGAGTTTTGGTAGTATTAATGCTTCAGATTTCTGCCAGCAACTTAATTTTTTGTAGAAGTCAGGCTAGACATTCATATGAGTAGGTGCAGCTATTGCACCACTAATAGGCAACTTCAAATTAAGAGCTGAACTGGACTTTAATGCTTAATCTGAGTAAGTAGCACTATAGAAGCTACTTTAACTAGATATAATTAAAGCTGCTTGTTATAGCAGCTCTTGACTCAAAACATTGGCTCCATTGTGGCTTCTGAATTAGAGTCCTTGGGCTCAGAAGGTGGTCACATCAAGATGGTAGTTGTGAGATGGGCTTTGAGGTACCATTGGCAAGTATTGCATACCTCTAATGATGGGATACTAGCTTTTAGTGTGTTAATTTAGCCCAGTTTCCACCCCAGTTTCCTTGATAATTGTGTATAGTGTGTATAGCTTTATTGATAAATAAATACTTTTTTCTCAAAAGGAGACAAAAAAGAACTATGTACTAAAATAGTGGAGATGTTTAGGTTGTACAATTTGTATTTCATAATTAGATCATATCACCCATTCAGCTGGATGGATCAGTCATGAAGATTGGTTACACTTTTATTGAAATGAAGTAAAATGTTTGTTTAAAAGCCCCCCAAAACAGCAGATGAAAGTTGAAGAGCAGATTTGTGAAGGATTTATGCTTCTGTGGGCAAAGTCTGGAAGGGAAACATGCATATAATTGTATAGCTTTTCATCTGGGAAATATTTGAGTTTTGAATTGTCTCATTTTTAAAAATATATCTTCATTCATTTTGAACTTTCTGTGTTTATGACTGAGAGATGGGCTAGTTGTAATAAATAAATGGCTGGTCTTTGTCTAATTTAAATGGTCCATGTGGCATTTTTTTCCTCAATGAGGTTTAGCCGAAGAGCAGCAACTTACAGTACTATTACAAATCAACTGGAAGTTCTGTGGCTTACCAGTGCTAACAGAAGGCTGCCTAGTGTCTACCCAATAAAGAATGACAAGTCTTTTTAATCTAATAAAATGCTTCGTACCATATCCAGAGATGGATTTGATGTGATCCCTTTTAAAGCAGTTATGTCATATGTATAACTTTCTTTGATGCTATTTTCTCTTCAATCAGGCATTGCAAATAAATATTATCTCCAGTTAATGTATGCATTCTGCTTATTCATGATAGTATTTCTATTGATTTTAAGAGGATGTTAACTGAAGAACTCATGTACCTAAGGTTAGTTTTAAAAAGAAAAGGACATGATAGTTTGATTCTTGTTTCCAACGTTATATTTAAACCTTGCTTTCATACTATTATCTACTACTGTAATTTGATCTCAAGTTAGATATTCAAACTTTTCTTAAACCAATAATATTTTTTGTTCATTAATCTTGTTAAGTTTGTAGAAAACCCAAATCATGATGATGATGCCATAATTCTTTTTGTAAAAAACTAAAGTAGATTTGAAGTCAGAACATCATAATTGTGGAATAGCCATCTCCAACCTGCCTGGGACGTCTCATACTTTTGAAGGATGGGCATCTGGTTGGGAAAGTCTGCTCTGGGATGGAAGAAAACATTTAATGCTTTATATATTTCATCTGGGAAAAATATTTTAAATCAAATGAGGTAATAAAATATTTTACTTTTGGACTAAATTGCTTTGTGTGTGTGTTCCTTTGTCTTTGCCACGGTCATCAGCTTCGCTTTCACAGCCGTCTTCACTTTGATATACCTCTCCCGGAAGTCTGGTTGAGCAAGAGCTTTCAGCTTTCAGAAGTTGCGCAAGAGGTAACTATAATTGGCATGTTCTTTACCTCAGTGCTACTTCTTGAGTTTATGCTTCCTGTTGACACCAACTTTCTAAGGAGATATGCATAATTTCATTAACTATTGTGAGGAAAATATACCTTTGGGTGAAAGAAGCAAGTTTTTAGAGGCCTCAGATGAATGGT